CGGCCTGCTCCTCGCCTGCCTCCTGCTGGGGGTGGCCACCGTGTGCCTGGGAGTGCGCTGTGAGTACGGCCGCCCGCTCCTCCCGCGCCCCCAAACTCCTCCTGTCCCCAGACGGCCGCCCCCAGCAGGGCCCACGCTCGCGGCGCCCACGGGCTGCCCGGGGTCTGGCTCCCAGCCTGGGCCGCCTTCGCGTCGTCCTCAGCGGGCGTCGTGCCGCCTTTGGCTCTGGGCAGCCGGGTTTCACGTTCCAGCTCCTCGGAGGACGCTGCAGGAAGCAGAGGGCCGACGCTGCTGTCGTGGCGCCTGAGGGCACTCTCTCCTTATGGCCGCACAGATCTGCAGGTTTCTCAGCAGCTCCAGCGCACGAACAGGGTTCTGGAAGCCACGAACAGCAGCCTGTGGCAGCAGCTCCGCCAGAAAGTGTCTCAGCTGGGGCAGAAGGAAGGGGACCTGCAGGAGTCCAGGGAAGAGCTGGCTCGGAGTCAGGACGCGCACCGGGAGGAGCAGCGGGCGCACCAGGCTGCCAAGGAGCAGCTACACACCTGCCAGCTGGACGGGGAGAAGACCAAGGACACCCTGCAAAGGCAGGAGGAGCAGAGGGAGGCCTTGGAGCGCAGACTGGGCGCCGTGCGGGACACACTGAAGCCCTTCTTCAAGTGCCCCTCGGAAGGTACCTGCCCTGGGAGGGGCAGGAGAGGTGGCCGTGGGGGTGGACTCACGTGAGTGGAAAGGGCCTTCTAGCTCTCAGGGCCGCTGAGTCCTCCCGGAAGCGGGCAGGGCACCCGAGCAGTGGCTGACAGCTGTGCAGCCTTGATCCACGGCAGAAGGGTCAGGCTGCACCCTGGGAGACTTACCCTGCTCTAAGGCAGGTCGGGGGCAGGAGGGTGGCAGCCAGCACTCTGCATCACACTGTCCAGAGCAGTTTGGCAAGCTCAGGTTTCATCTGGTTGACATTAGTGCCAAGGACCTGGGAACTCCTTGGACTGGATGTGAGGTTGGTTGGTTGCATACTTTTCTAAGACAAGGGTCAGCCTGGCGGTGTGGTGCTGCACGCCTGTAATCCCAGCACTGTGGGAGGCTGAGGCAGGAGGCTCACTATGAGTCTGAGGTCAGCCTGAGCTACAAACATTAGTATATGTTTGTGACAGATAATAACTACATTCATCTTGGGGAGCTGGTACATACACATATCACATCTTGATCATTTTGTTTTGCTATGCAGTTCAGGCTGGTCTTGAACTCACTTTGTAGCCCATGCTGACCTCAAACTTGAAGCAATCCTCTTGCTTCAGCCTCTAGAGTGCTGGGATTACAGATGTGTACCACCACACTCGGCTATTTTGCTTTCTAAATGATTTATACCATGGGCCTCTCATATTAGAGAAACCATGAAATGTTTAACCTTCTGTGTCTGATTTATTTCACTCAGTATTACGGTCTCAAGAGCCATTCATTTCCTACAAATGATTCAAATTTATCTTTATGATGGAATAGTACTTCATATTAGCTCATACTACACCTGAGATTCCCCAGAGGGTTAAGAATTACTGACTGACACGAAGTGTAGTCTGGATGTGGGTCAAGGCAACTGAGGTTACGAGGGCCTCTCTGGCACTCACAGTGAGGTGTGGGGGGTTGTGGTTTAGCGAACTGAGATTCTGTGTCATCCACTTTGAAAGCAGGAGCCTGGCCAGTAGGCGGAGGAGGGGGAAGGGATACCCGAAAGGGAAAAGCTGTGCTGGAGCAGGCTGAGGTTCTAGAAGGGTGGCATGTTCATGAACTAAGGTTAGGGTGATGCTTACCCAGCTCAGGGGCATGTAGACGCTCTCCCCAGGCTTGGCACAGCAAGATGATGTGCACACCAGCCTCGTCTCCTTAACCTTCCGACCCTCTGAGACGCTCATCCGTGCCAGTGCTGGCTCCACCCCACCCACACCCTACACCTGCACATCCCATCGTGCTTGCCTGCCGGAAGGTTGGCTGCAGACGGCCACCCTCATTACAGCTGCCTCCCCCTCCAGGCCTACCACACTTCTCCCGCTTCACTGGGGCCTCCAGTGTGCGAGCTCCCCCGTTCCTCCCTTCCCGTCTGCTGTCTCCTGTCCTTACTTCTGTCCCTTGGGCTTGGGGTCCATCACTTAGCTACTCACCCTTTTTGTCCACTGCCCTGATGTGCTGGACTCATAAAAACTCAGCCCCAGGAGACCCTAACCCACTGCAGGCCAGACTTGCACTAAGAAGCGACAAGTTGTGCAACCAACCAGGTTAGTGCCACTGAAACTCGAGTCTAAGGCCTGCGGTTGACATAAGTGCCAAGGACCTGGGAATAAACCACATGACCACTAAGGTTCTGCGGCGGTCAGCTTCCACGCCACCACCCGTGCCCTCGTCTCCTACCACATCCCACAGCAGCTCCTGCCATTTTTTACCAGCAAGTATACATACCCTTTAGCATTTCTGCCCGTCTTATTTGTTCTGTTTTTTGAGACAGGGTCTTGCTATGTAGCCCAGGCTGGCCTTGGAAGTTCTCTTGCTTCAGGCTCCCAAGTGCTGGGATTACAGGTGTGCACCACCACACCTGGCCCATCCTATGCTTTACAAAGATACCTGCAGTAGCTTTCTGAGTGCTTTCCTAAGACCCCACCCTCCCCTCCTCAAACCCAGTCTATTCTTCATATTGGAGCCAGGATGATCCTTTAAAAACACAAATGTGACCATGCTGTCCCAGTCTAGGTCATGTCGTTCTGGTAAATTCATTATGTGAAGGTGATGGAATACATATTATATGTTCCAGACATACCAGATACTTTGTATATAGCTAGTGAGCAAAACTCCTCCAATTAAACCTTACTTGGCTTTCTGTTCCTCGTAATATAAAAATATAAAATTCTTGAACGGCTTCCAGGGCCTCTACTTACCCTGGAGTGTGCCACTTAAATCAGCCTCTAAGAAGGGATATCAGCCTCTAATATCCCATCGTGGCCACACGGGTTTCTTTTTATTCCTTTAAGTCAACCCAGGACAGTATGTTGGGGGGGAAAGTGGCCAAGGACACGAGAAAACGAAGATGGGGGAGGGGCCAGTGGACGGGGAATGGTTTTTGAGTGATGGAGATAAAACTCATGGATACAAGCCATGGAGAGAGGTGGGTTGAGTTTTTATGAGTCCAGCACATCAGGAGCTCAGATGAGGGTGTGGGGTGTTAAGGAAATCAATTATTTTTTAGAGATAGTCAGGAAAAGAGCAAAGATAGAAATTTTGAGGTGTAGAGGAGGGAAATGGAGGGTGCTCACAATTTCAGCAAAGTGGGAACCAAGGTTGTCTGCTTATGAGAGGGTGGGAAGTGACCAATGGCTGGTGCTGTTCTGAGTATGCAGCGCGGAATGCTTTAGGGAGCCATGGGATGAGTAAGTGAGAGCCTATTGACCAGTTACCTACAGATGCGGCTAACCAAAATACTGGAGTAGATTGTAATATTTCAGAAAGGGGGGGATAGTAGAACCAGCCCTATTGTTGTTGGGTTTTTTTTGTTTTTTTTTGTTTTTTCCCCCGGTACCGGGAATCGAACTCACGACCTTGCACTTGCCAGGCAGGCGCTGTGCCGCTGAGCTAAATCCCCAGCCCCAGAACCAGCCCTATTAAAATAAACCTCCTAGATTGTTACGAAGTAATGTTGAATGATTAGGATTTTACTAAATATATACAAGTATGGCATTTTCAGGGCAGGCAAAATAAAAAAGACTGCAAAGGTCAAGGGCAGAGGCATTGAGAGCAGAGATGAGGATGTCCGCGATGCTGGTGAGCAGTCGCTCTCACCCCCACACTGTTACTGTCACGTTTCCTTCTTCATAGATGCCTGCTGTCTGATGGGGTGGACGCTGCACCAGAAACGCTGCTTTTACTTCTCGCCTACTGAGAAGACCTGGGAGGGGAGCAGAAATCACTGCACATCTCTGTCCTCCAAGCTGGCCACCTTCAGTCAGACTTCTCAGTATTACAGCCGTGTAAGCATACCTTATCTACAGACGGAAGTGGGTACTGTCAGGTAAGGGGAGGAGTGTCAGGCGAGGAGGGGCACTGCACACCTGGCGTGCACGCCAGGGCTTACACTCCTCTTCCACAGCAGACAGTCACACTATTGCCACTAAACTTGGGAACAGCTGTCTCTTCTCAGCCCCGTGCTCCAGGCGGCAGGAGAGCTGGAACTCCTGCATCATCTCCGCCTCACGTATCGCTCAGCTTTCTGCTCAGCCCTCTGGGCTTTGTAATGGTTGACTCTCATGGTCTTTCAGACAGACAAGTGCCAGCCCTGCTGGTGGAAGAGACTGGCTCCTTGGGACCACAACAGTCCACAGAATGACTCCCCTCCAGGGATGGCAGAAATTCTTACCCATGTGAGAGATGAACTAAAGGGTGGCACTTGAAGGATGCCAGTGGTCACCAGTGAGCGGTCATGTGCCATCCATCAGCGTAGCCCTCTCGCCAAAGCACACAGGCCTTCTCCTGGGCTTGCGTTTCCTTTCCTGTTTCTCATCACTCTCCGCTTATCTCTGGTCTCTCTGAATCTTCCCTCAGCAGTATCTCCCCAGAAGCCTCAGTGAATTGTTGTCAGGCGGTGGCTCCGACTCATATTGGGTTGGCTCCAGCTCTCATAGGGTGTCGAGGAGGACTTGGTCGACTGATGATTCATCCTCTTGGTAAGTCTGTGAGCACTTGCGGGTATGTTCAGCTTCATAGTCCTCTCATAAAGAGATAGTAATACAATCTCTCCCATACACTGCCCCCCAAACTCTTCCATTAATCACTGTTACAATTGCCTATTTGTTTCCTCTATTGGATTAATAACTCTTTGGGGTGTTTTGCTTTATCCCCAGTACCTAGAGATCCTTGGCATATGCTTTAAAAAATAAACACATGGTTGGGAACCTGTGTCCTTTCAGAAGGGGGAAATAAGCATTTAGCTAGGGCTTCACAGCCAAAGAAGACAATGGGCACTCTAACATCTCACCCACTGACAAGGCTACGCAAACTGAGAATGTACTGTCGTGGCCTGTTGGGGCACTAGAGGCCTCTCCTGCCTCAGGGAAGTGAGCAAGGGAGCAGAGCAGTAACTTGGAGATCAGGACTAGGGACCTGGAAAGAGGGTGGCCATCTCATGTTCCCTCTCTGGAGTTTTCATGTTTAGGACCTTGAATGATTTTCCCTTCTCTGGTCAAAAACCCTTTTCCAGTTGCTAGTCTAGAAATGTGTCTCTGAACCATGAGTTGGCAGGGCCTTATGCAGACAGGGTGAGTTAGGAGTTGGGCCAGGTTTCATACAGAGCAAGGGGAGAGAAGGGAGGATGAGCTATGAAGGGTCCCGAGCGAATCCCAGTTCTGCTTTACATTCTGTAGGTATTATTATCAATTCCCAAACTGTGCCAAGGTACAAAAAGATTGGTCATACTGGAAGTCAGAGAAATGTACAGATTCTCTTCGGTACATCTGTGAACTAGAAGCTTTCAAGTTTCCAGACAGGGACCACTCTTTGCATTGAGCTGGGTAAGCAGGGTGGGGTGCGGTGTGGGGTGTGGCGAGGCCTGAGGCAGGGAGGGTTTGAGGGGTACAGGGACCCACAGGTCAGAGGGAAAACTCGTTCCTGGGTTTGAAAGTCACAGCCACGCATCTAGTCGCTTGGTCTGCTTATGCAAGGGTGGGCTGGGCAAAGAGCTAAGGCCTAGAACAGAAGGGAGGCTGGTAATGCGGCTGTCCAGGGAGCTGAGGACACAGGGTGAGTTGGATGAAGGTTTAGTAATAGTCAACTGTGGATCTCACTGAAGCTTTGCTCTTCCAGAACTCATGCCGAGCTTGTGGCTGTCACCCCTACCTGTGGCGCATTACTCCTAGCGTCATCGTTCCCAGCCTCCCTTCGTTCTAGGCAGTGCCCAGCCAAGCGCTGATCTACCCCAACATGTCTAGCCAGCCTGCAGCCTGCTTGAAACCCTGTCTCGGAACCCAGACTGTTCCTGGGAAGAGGGTGAAGAAGTCTCTGGGAAAGACTCTGGCCTCCCTCAGGAACCTCCTATAGTGGAAGTGGGTGGGGAGGAGGGTGCACGGGCTGAGTAGACGGGGCGGCCCGGAGCCAGCCAGGCAGTTTTATTGAAATATCTTTAAATAATCTGCACGTGTTAGTCTCGTGTGTCAGCAATGCCGTGTCTGGTTCGGTGATCCCCACAGGACCGCGAGCCCAGGGGTTGGGTAGGAAGTGCTGTGTCCCTCGAGTCCATGGTGAGGCTCCCCCATGTGGGGCTGGTGTTGTTCAGCAAGTGCCGCTCTGTCCTCACAAGGCGTCCAGAAGGCCGAAGTTGGAGGCCTGAGATGGCAGGCCCCACCGCTAAGAGCGTGCCCCAGGCAGCTGCAAGCTGGGCGTGGGTGGCTTGGCGTGGTGCCCTCGGTGGCAGAGCAGACTGCCCGCCTCACAGTTCAGGTTGCGGTAGCGGGCAACAGCTGGGGTGGGGCGAGGGCACATGGACAGGAAGCCAAAGCTGAAGGGGCCAAGGCAGCAGCCAGGGCAGGGCAGGCCCTCCTCGGGCTCCCGCGAAGCTGAAGGGGGCGGTGAGGGTTCTGTCCGCTCCAGGGCTGCTGCCCGGGGCAGGCTATGCTGAGCCCGGTTCCACGGCTCCCCAGCCCAGCCCTGCGGAGAGTTCACCACCACAGCTGGGGGGTTGTTGTTGAGGGGAGGTCCTGATCTAGGGGACCAGGGCTGGGAGGCTGAGGAGCAAGTGCTGATGAAGTTGTCTGTGGCCACAGCCAGGGGCAGCTGGGGAGTTGGCCCTGGGGGTTCTGGCTCTGGGCTGCTGCCCTCGCACTCCATCTTCTCTTCGGTGGAGGGGCCCATGGGGGGAGGGCCAGGGCCTGGCAGTGCAGTCTCCATACGTCGGGGAAGCTCTGGGGATGACGGTAGTGAGCGGCAGCGGCGGGCAGGCGTCCCAGGCTGGACCAGAGTCTCCGGAGTGGTCACCAAGGGCAGCTGGGTGGAGGGTAGTGGTGATGATGGTACAAGGGGCAGGGGGGTGATGGGCTTGCTGGGTGTGTCCAGGAGCTTGATCTTGCCACCCCTGAGGTCTTCCCGTAGTGAGAAAGGGTTGACTCGTGTCAGATTATCCCCCCAGTTGGGGGGTGATTCTGGTGATGGGGGCAGGAAGAGGTCTGACCGGCTTCGAGAGAGCCGAGGGTCTGGCCTGGGAAGCGTGGCTGCGGAGCCTCCTCTTGGAACAGACCCTGTAGATAGAGAAGTCTGTGATCACTGTTCTCAGCATTTGCTCGTAGCTCCTGAGGGCCTCATTATCCTTCAGGAGGCTGCTGGCGCTAAGCTTAGAAAAGGGAGTCCCACGAGGTGCTCTGCTAAGGGGGAAGTCACCTCTAGCCACCTTTCACCTCATCTTTCCTTCCTCCACTCCCTCAAGCAGGCTCTAGCAGTAGAAAATATCTTTGACATGTCTTCTCCCCTACCCCCCACTGACTCCCAGCTTTTCCAACTAAAATCCTCTTAGCCTCCCCCGATAACTTGAATTCTGAGGAGAGCGTCACAAGGACTTCCACTGGGCCAGGTTCACGGTCACTCACCCTGGCTGTGTGTCAGGGGAGCCCTGGTGATGGGGGCCGGCTCAGGCAGCTGCTCCAGGATCCATTCCAGGTGCTGGGTGATTTCAGTGAAGGGGGCACGGGTGCTGGGTTCCATCTGATGAGCAGACAGGGGCAGCTTTACTCAGCCCTCTGGAAGAGGGTCCCTGAGTTTTCCTCCCGTCACCTGGAAGCCATGTCAGCTCATGAATGGGGCAGGGGCCAGGAGGGATAGCAAGGCTCTTACGCTGCAGCAGTGGATAGCCAGGAGCAGGAAAGGCAGTGGACAGTCGTCCCCCACGAGGGTTCGGAAAGCAGGTACATCCAAGCCAAAGTCCTGTAGGCACAGGGGCAGGGCCTGGATTCAGCTTCCCTTGGGTTCTCCTCCTGCTTCCCTGCAAGGGACCGGAACCTCCCAACCCCCCTGAGGTAGGAACCACCTAGTCTAGAGTCTCCTCCTGTTTCACCTAGAGACAGTCACCTCGGTGCGGGGCAGGTAGTCAGGATCTGCAGGTACTCGGGCGATGAGCTCGCAGAGCACGATCCCAAAGGCGAAGACATCAGCCTGAGGGGAGAAGAGGATAAGGACACGGGGAGGAACTGACAATTCTTCTTCCAGGTTTTGCTGGAACAGGTCAGAATTTGGGTGGCGGAGTCATCCTGTCAGTTGGCATGTGCTGGAAGGGGGACTGTGAGGGGCAGGAGGTCCCTGGACATTTGGCAGGGCTGTCCCTGGGATGGAGCCTCAGGCGGATCTCAAGGGTGTCCAGAGAACCCTGGAGCCCTGAAGGGCCGTCTTACCTTCTCATCATACAGCTCACCGCGCAGCACCTCTGGAGCCATCCAGTACGGGGAGCCCACCACAGCCAGCGGCTCCTTCCTTGCCCCTTCCCTGCAGGGGCAGGGCGGCGTGGTCAGCAACATCCCTTTCAGGCATCCTCCCCAGGCAAAAGGGACCGAGGTGTGCTCCCTCTCCCCACCCCAAGGGAAATGTCCCAGGGGAGTGCTTTATTTCCATAGGGGACCTCTGGGAGACTTTAGGGTAACAGGGTCATCTCACCTATACACGGGAATCTTTTCAGCCAGCCCGAAGTCACCCACCACAGCTGTGAAGCCCTGGGCTTCTCGTCGGACCAGGCAGTTCTGACACACAACAGACAGGCACCCTCACACACCCATCACCTTATGCTCTCTGGCCTCCCAGCATAACCCTAACCGCTCATCACTGCAGCATACCCCACCCCGCTTCTCCAGCTGCCCATGCACCCCACACCGCAACTTAACCCAGCACTCCAGTGTGACACCACTCAGTCCTCTGGAGGACTCCCCTCATCCCAGCCCCCAGTATTCGCCAATGCCTCGCCATTCCAGCACCCTAATAGAATTACTGTCCACATCCAACATCAGTGCTCCAGTTACAACCCAATAGTCCCAAATCCTCTTCCATGTCTCCACCCACCTGGCCATCCTACCTTGGATGTGAGATCTCGGTGGAATACACCTTTGGCATGCAGGTATCGCAGGCCTCGGGCAATGTCCAAAGCCAGGTGGAGCCTGACTGGCCAGGACAGAGGCTCTGGGGAGCTCAGCAGTTGTTCCAGGGTCCCCCCATTCATATACTGGGGCAAAGGAGGAGGAGAGGGGGAATAAATGTTAAGGTTTCAGTCAGTGTTGTAGGCCTCCTGTTAACAGGCGAGGAGGTACTCAGGAGAATAATTAGGATCAGAAGGGCGAGTCTGTGATCTAGGGTCTCCCATTCATGTTCTAGAGCTGCCCAGTAGTTACCAGCCATGTGCAACTACTTGAATTATCAAATTTAAAAATAAGTGAACATTCAGTTCCTCAGTCACATCAGCCACATTTCCCATGCTCTAAGCTCGCCACGCGTGGCTAACGGCGTTCTCAGAGAGCTCAGGTACAGAACATGTCTATCACTGTAGAAAGTTCAGTGGGACAGCACTGTTCGGGAAACGCACAGAACGAGACCAGCTGAGGCCTCTTAGAAGTGCTTTGCCCAAAGGGAAGTTCAGGACGCCTCTCCTGGAAGACGGTCCCTGTCTTTCTGCAGACCCACCAGGCGCCCTCCTCTCTCTCCCCTTGGTGGCAGGGCGGGTTCCTGCTTTCTGGCCTGTTCTCACCTCTGTAAGCGCGTGCAGCTGCCCCTGGTGCACACAGACCCCCATGAACCTGGAAGAGGATGGGGAAGACAGGAGGGTGGGCTTCAGAGCCCCAGCCCGCTGGGCTCCCACTTGTCAGCAAGCAGGATGTTTCCCTTCCCTCCCAAAGGGCAAGCTGCCCAGCCAGAGGCTGGGGCTGCTCACCTTAGGATGTTAGGGTGCCTGAGACGGTTCATCAGCTGCACCTCTCGTAAAGTGTTGCCCCGGTTACTGGGGAGCTTGTTCATCTTCAGCACCATGACTTGCCCTGACTGTCGGTGCCGAACCTGGGGGTGGCAAGGGCCGGCGTGCGCCCGCAGGTTGGGCGGGTGGTCGGAGTCCGGGTTCTTTATCCCGGCTGTGGGCCCCCAAGTTCTAGCCTCGGGTGGAAGGCTCGGTCCCGCCCCTCTGCCCGTTCGGCAGGTCCTACCTTGTAGACCTCGGAGAAGAAGCCAGCCCCGATCTTCTCGGCGCAGTGGAAGTCGTCCACGCGCGCCAGGCTGGACACGGCGCTGCGGAGGGCCCGGTAGGAGGAGGGGCGGCCCCGGCCCGGGCCTCCGCCCG